CAATGAAAAAAGTAAATTAATAATTATAAATGTAATTTTAATACTGTATAATTAATTTAAATTCTTAGTACAAATACAACTAAGTATATACATAAATTGTTTATTAAATCTTGCACTGTATCTTTTTAGCAGGTTTATATTTTAGTAATATATATGGAAAAACAATAACACATTTTTATTTACTAATGTAATAAACACAAAAGTATCAATTAAATAAAGAAGAGTCAAATCATGTTATCACTAGCATACAATGAAATGTGTTTGTCATAGTTGTTTATAAAAACATTCATTAATCAATATTATTAGTTTTGTACTATAAACAGAAGTTTAAATTATATCAAGAATGTTTAAGTTTGCAGTGTCACAGTCACATTGTACAATAATCATGCAAGTGTCAAACATATCGTTTGAGACTAGAATTTTACACACTAATTAAATGAAAAAAAATTATAACGAATGTCGATTTGTAAGTATTGTATTATAAAACCTGCAGTGACGAGCATTGAGATAATAAAACACTTTACACTTTTTGTCGGCGAAATGATATCAAAGAACATTCTTTCACTAAATAGATGCAATAGAACTTCAGCTGCGATTGAATCAAAACATTATATACGTATACACACATACACGTCAGAAAAATCTGCACCGTGTTACACTCTGAATAGTTGCATTCTCTGAACGCCAGTTATTTCAATAGCATGTATCTTGAATATCACGGCTTAAATATTCCTAGCACAAAGCGATAAGCGGCAAAATAAATGTGCAAATACGAACAGACGAGAATTATCGCGTAAACTCTGTTCGACCTCGCCTGTTGACACCTTGACTGTCTCTGCATACGAGGTCAGGGTGGGGGCTCTTCGACCGCCATTAAATTCCCCTCGTTTCGAACGCGGTCTCGATATTCGAAAGTTTCCAGGGACAGTTCGATTGAAAAAACGCCATATAAAATCGCTTTCCATCATGGATACAACTTGCACCCACGTGTCATTAACCACGGCGTTCACGATTCGTAATGAAAGTAGTAGTCTTTCTACATTTTTCGCACGTGTTTCTTAAGACTTTAAAAGGAAAAGTTACACAAAAGAAAAAAGAAACATTTCCTTATTTAATATTTAATTATATTAAAAACAGATACTTACTGACATTTCCATAAGCACCAAACACTATTAAACCAGGCTTGAGATTAATAACTACACGTGAATTTATATTTTCACTGATTAATGGATTTTCTAGTTTTTCTTTTAAATATTTACAGATCTATTCGATATTCATTTGAAATCGACTTTATTTTTACAATTTTATAAAAAAATAGTAATTAATTTACATTTTGAAAATTATAGGACAATGAAAAAAGCGAATACCATGGGCATATATACTTATGCTCGTGTTAGAAATATTGATGTTTTATAATTCCAAGTTTTTGTAAAATTTAGTAAAAAATTGTAAGAGAAAGAATAGTTTTGTGTAGGATTTATTTTGTGACAAACTTAAAGGTTTGGTTGTAACTTCCGTTTTTGAAAACTCGCTTTCTTTACGAATATCTATTGTAAACATTCATATTTTTATTCATCTAAATTTTATTCCGAAAATAAATAAATATTGTTACAATTGTTATTGCATTTACATTTAAATAGTTGATATCGCGAAAATACTTAGTAATTTGAAAATTAACACTAACGTTATCACATTATGGTCGTAATTTCTAATATTTATATTTTTTCCATTTTTTACAAACGCAAGGTATTAACATTGTATATTTTTTTATAAGTTAAGCACTCCAATAAATTAACTTGCTGGTGTTAAAAAAATAAATTAAATTATACTTTAATTGGTGAGTCTTTCAAGGTATGTCTAATAAATAATTCAAGTATATTTTCTCATATTAAGCTATACAAAATATTCTAATAAAAATGAGGAAACACTCCGATGTTATTCGTTTTTCGTAGTAGTATCTGTTAATGTAAATATTTTAAACAAATAAAACAAGTATATAGAGTTCTAACTTCTTTATTTATTATGTTAAAATGTATTCGAAGTCACTTTTATTATTCGACCTTCAATGATTCTTTCACATAACGAAAAGTAAACGACCCATAATGCGTTAACTATACATTACACTGAATATCTACTTTTGAGTCAGGTACTTTCAGTAATCGAGTAAAAGCATCAAATGCAAATGCAAAAATATTTTTCTTTTACGTTTGTATGTCCGCAAATATTTCTGTAGAACTTTTACAAAACCGATTATTTTATTTTTACTTACTC